GTTCGGACGGACCTGAGATATGTCCGATTATGGACGGGTGTTCCATAAATTGAAGTTCCGAGGATAACGCTTCGAGGGAACCTTCGCTCTCCCGCCTCAATCCGCATAAACGGGCCTGCATGTTTCGCCCGAGTTTATGGTCTCGAAGTTATGTTAATGGTAGCAATATTACGCGCAGCCACGATGACGTTTTATTAAGTACAAACGAGAGCGAGGAATCTTCCCTCGTGCAGATGCGTGAAGTGATATTTCATAAACTCCCGGGGATACCCGGAAGTCCTTTTCTAGCTTGGGGGCTTCCTTTTGGTGTTACCGAGCACTCAATATATTGCTTTGATACAACGTTGCGTATTTGTTTTTTTTTTTTCTTCGCGAGCCGATTTAATGGCATTTCATGGCGATCTGGTTTTCTCAGCTGTTCACTTATCGATTGATCGATGAATCGTCTTTCGTAATCGCTCACTTGCTGATGGACAGGCGCTTGCTACCGCAATATGATGGTGAGCAACCACGACGTTCTGCGGATAAAGCCGACTGGCACAGCGGTTATAAATAAATGTCAGTGAATTTGTACAAGATATAGAAACGTGATTCGCACAATGACTTCCGGATTTCGAATGCAGATACTCTCCGAGAAATCTTGCATGTAATCGTCCGTTCGTAATATTGCAAAGTTGCTTCCTACGTTGCGCGCGTGTGTGCATGTGCCCAACATTGCGGGGGCCCACTCTCAGACTCGCTAGACCTGGAAAAAATCCGCGCACGGATCTGGTCGCGGACATAAAAATGCAGGTCGTGCGCGCTTGCGCGCCGTTTGCCCGGCCTGACATCGGTGTTTTATGGCCGACAGCTTTGTGTGTTCCGCAGTAGGCATTATTTTTCCTTCTAAACTCCGTTATACGTGGAACAATGGAGAGATTAAAACGTAAAATATGATCTCTCGAATATAGCTGACGGGTCGAGAGCGCGTAGTGGAGGGAAACGATACGGCGTGTAGTGCCTACAGTAAATTTTGCTATATATCTGATGTCAACTACTCAACTCGCTCTTTTTTTTTGGGGGGTTGCGGGCGTGACGCACTGAAAATTAATCTATCGTTTTAACCGGGAGTTTTAAGGAGAAACTCTACGACTTGCAAACAAACATTTATCTCTTTATTGTCTCGGATTTCTAAGTAGTCGTGGAGTTTTACTATCATAGCACCCATCCTAACCTAATATAACCTATCTACGTGCTTATTGTGCTTTCTTTCAGTTTCATTTGTCTGCGATAGATATCGATGTTTGGCTTAACATCTCGGTTGTGTTGCGTGAATATTAAGCAAGTCGTTTAATCAGTAAGCCACTATTATTGATTGACAGCGCGATAAAGCCATTTGGACCCGCGTGTATGCTCGGTAAACCGGGAGACGATTGACAAACTGTCGCCTCGTCCATCGTCTAAATTAAGTGGTAATCCGAGTCAATCGAACGCATCATATTTATTATCTAAAGCTGTTTACACATGTCCGTGTTAATTTCAGCCACCTGCTCTATTTGGTAGTGAGCTTACTACCAACAGCAAAGAACACATTGAACAGATCCATCGCGCTACCGATTTAGGTACGACTACAACGCTTGTATCTTATATATATATATATATATGGAAATATACTAAACTTGTGCACATAACGATTTACATATGAAACACTATATTGACTTTTCAGTCGATAGTGTGCATTTTCTGACAAGAAAAAATGTATTCCTATCAGTAATATTATAAACATAAGATAAGAAACGACACTTGATTGGTTCAACAGATATACATAGTTTCCGCATGAAAATAATAATACGATTAATTAAACAAGAAAGTGAGAACAAATGAAATATAAGTTATTCATTAGCGTGCCGCCTCAGCCACGATAGTGTGACATCGGATGTCTTCCGAATCTCACGAAAGACATGGGACGATGCAACGCGCTGCGCGGTACACCGGACCACGGTGCTCTTGTATTTGTCGAATACGAAGTCACGTACCGAATACATTATCGGACGGGTATACGGTCTATGCATGCGAAGGCTGAAAAGCAGGCGCAGCTCGAGCCGGCGACGCAAGGAGAGAGGGCGGACAGACGGACGGGCGGGTAACTATATTGATTGTGTAGCCGGCTGACAGCGACAGTGACATATGTCACCGAAGCTTCTCGTTATCGCTGATTTAAACATGAGGCAACGAGACCCTTGCCGAGTTGCTCGATGTGCTGCGCCGGCAGCTCCGTATTTCTGCCTGTGTCTCCGTCCCCTGTTATTATTATTGCCGAGCGTGCACTTTCTTTTTTTTCACCCGCCACTTCCTTTTTCCCGGTCGATCTATTGACTGGCGTACTGTCGGAAGCCGGATAACGTGACCTCTTTGATCATCGGCATAGTGAAACGGGTTGTCAGAAATAATTATGAGTCCATATTGTAGTCTTCGTAGACGCTTGACACGCACATCGCTCTTTTTCGTACAACGTTTCGTTCAACGTTGTTGGACCTCGTGGGTTGAAAATTGCGCCTGTGCGAAGTTCTGAATTCATTCCGCAGAGAGAGAGGAGCGTTCTTATTTGCAGAATCAAATATGTAAATCGACGCATGCCACGCGTTCGAAAAGTAATGAACCAATTAAGTCCCAACGGCTTAATGTTTGCTTTATAGGAAATTATTCCGACATAAATGGCTCAAACCATGCGCGTTGTAAACGCGCGTGAGGTAATAAATCTTCATCGAGAAAACCGTGCAGATTCGAATATAAAGCTCGCTTCGCAACGCGTGGTTCACTTTTCATGCGAAACTTGATACAAAATAGGTTGTATCCGTCCTCGACGATACGTATATAACCGCATAGCGCGCACCCCTGTCATTCCGAGCGCAGAGCTGGGTGTATAAGAAGTTAGGAGCGAGGAGGGCGGTAGGGGGATGGCGGAAGAAAGACCGCTATGATTTATTATCCCCCGCAAATTCTGTTTCTCCTCCGTGCACGCCAACTGCGTTCGCGTTCATCCATCTTTTTCCCTTTCACGGCTCACCGAGCAATCCCCCGCTCTTGCTCTCGTCGGATCGTCTCTCCCTTCGTTCGCCCTCTTTGTTCGGCGCCATCTCTCAAAGTGACTGACTGCCTCCTTTATTATCCGCTTGTCAGCATTTTTACACTTTTATCCGAAGCTCTCCCGATGTCTATTGTTCCCGGAGCGAATTCGTACGGTCACAATACGGTCTTGAAGGACTTCAATGGGCGGATCGTTGTCGTCAGTTTGGCAATCATTCGACGGTGCCCTACGATTAAAGACGAGCGAAATGCCGAACAAACCGAAAATAGATCAGCGAATAACGCGCTTTCCTTCAAGGGAAAGCGAAATGTGTCACCCGTTGGGTTAAGCTAGGTCAGTTGAATATGTGTATATGTTAGTTGAAATAAAAAAGCACTTAACGTTGACATTCGCTGTAGGTGAAGATTGTTTATAATAGGGAACGCACGTCAATGACCAGGCCGAATCTGTTGTCGGGGTGGCCGTCAGTTTGAAATCTTCGAAGCAAGGCACGAGGGGGGCTGGTCTAAGATGAAAGAGAACTATATTAGCCGTAAACTCATCCGTCAGTGTCAAAACGTCAAAGAATCACCCTCGAAATATTAGCGGCGCCATAACAACAGACAGCTTACGTGGAAGCTAAACTACGAGCTATCTTTATCTGTTCTCGAAAAAGAGACGGCATTGACGTTCAATGAGACAGAAATGCGCGGAAAGCGTGAATCCATTATAATATAATTAACGGAGAAACGTGTGATTTTTGCTACCGCGATCGCAAAGATAAAGGCCGATGCAGAGGGAGTTTCATATCCGCGCAAAAATGATGAAAGGAAGGCAAAAGCCACTGGAGATTTCTATTCACAGCGTATATTATAACAGTTAATGACACCAAGAATGTTACAATGAATTCCACTGTGTAAATTATAGTCGGCATACCTATATGCGTTTCTCAGATACTGTTCAGTTGCATTCCTGTGCGAAGTGCTCCCCGAGGTAATTATTGTTTACCGCGGATATGCGGTCTACGTAGCGGGCGTGTGGATATCGTCATAATTCGTCGTAATTACCTTGTAACATAGTTACTTCATCGATCGCTTTATCTTGCTTAAGCTGTACTTAACGGAATGGCCGTAATCGCCTAACCGCGGAGCGTTTGAACGAGGCCTGATAGTCAAGCTCTTTAATGGCCGTATCGCTCGTCATGCGGACGCGCACGATGCGTGCTTGGCGAGCGCGTAAATGCATTACACGCGTCAGTGCATCGTAGGTATGCGCGCGTTTTTCTAACGATAGTAGGAAAGAGCGCACGCACGATAACAACAGGGACTCACTTTCGCTTGCTCGAGCGAGCGATAAGATAAAAATGACGAGAGAGAGAGAGAATGATCTGATATCACAGAAACTAACTTGCAACGCTCATCGAGTGCCAGGTACTTGGAGCACTTTGATCATCCGATCTACGGTGTGCGCGATCCACAAACGTGGCGCGCAAACATCGAGAGATCGGTAGCCGCGAGACGTTAAGTACCGGATGACTCAGTGCGCACTGTAGTCGAGGCCGGGGCGATAATTAAAACGCTTTTACAAAACTGTAGGCAAACAGCGCTTAAGTGGCTGTCATTCGTTACCCCGTGGGGCCGCGGCAAGTCGGTAAGTCGTTGAGCGAGCAATCAATCACCCGACCCGCTCCCCTACCCCCACTAGCCCATTACATTTCTATTTTGAAAGCTGCTTATTAAGCGGGGCTGGCCGGAGAGACAGACAGGTTTCACGGTATAAAATATCGGGTTGCCGTGGTGGCAGGGACGACGGTTCCGTGTCGTGGCAGCTATGGTAGCCCCAACGCGGGAAGGGGAAGCGACCATAGTGCGAGAGAGTGGGACGGAATGTCGGAGGAGAGGGGAAGTGAGGAACGTCGGTTGGACGAGCGGGGAGGGGGATAGACGGCTGTAAAAGCGGTGAAATATCAAAGCCGGGATGGGAGCTGTCATCGTCGGGCCAACATCATGGGTGGCGTGTTGAATTAGAATGCCTTCCCACACCCCACCGCAATTCTCCCACCATAATGCCACCTCCCCTCTACGTGCCGTCGGTATGGCCGGGTGGGGATGATAGGAGAGGACAGGTTATACACCTCGGCTTGGCGGCCACGGAGAGAGAGATGGGAGGTGAAGTTCGCGTTGGGCCACCAGACGGCGCGAGGCTAGCATTCCACTCGGAGCTCGGAGCGACACGGTCGAGAGCCGCCACTACTTTCCTGGATTCCGTGGAGTACACGTCGCTTTTCGCACAGTTACGTGTGCGGTGCGAAGGAGGTGATCGATTCCTCGGTGCTCGCGGATTTTTCGGACACGTCTCGCACGGGTTTTGTGTGAATAATAATCTCTGTTGGTTCAAAGTGCAGTGTGATTTCTTAGTGGAAAACCAAATGGTTGTGCTCGAGGAAGGCGGTATGCTGACTACTGGACACAATCAGTACTTACAACCGGATTATCTTTCTCCGCTTCCAACCACGGTTCGTATCATTTGATTTATTTTTACTCCCGTCCGAACTCTGTTGCATAATATTCCTGCCGAAGGTAAAGCCAAATATTGCGATACCTTTTTTCTTTTCGGTCGAGAAAATTCAGCTTTACTGATATTCTTCGTCATGCCCGTCGTTGTCCGACGGAACGGCTATCACGTTATCGCTTTCGATCGATACACGTCTTTTGTGTGGGGCAATACGTAAAGCGAGAGTATTCACACGATCACACATATATGACGTGCTTTTCCTTGTGGGTTGCAGTTGGACGCGAAGAAGAGTCCTCTGGCGTTATTGGCACAGACATGCAGCCAGATCGGAGCAGATTCGCCCGCTAAACCGCTGATTTCGCCTCTGGAGAAGACCACGAAGGGCATGAGCATCGCTACGAACGCCAAATCACCGCCAGCCGCGAAACTGGAGCGCAGTACGCGCGGCAGTCCGACGGACGGCAAATCGTTGGCGTTCAAGCCGTACGAGACCAACGTTGTGACGAAGAAAACTTCGGACGAGGGTAGACCCACGTCTAAAGCCAGTGTACACAGTGTCAGTGGTCAGGATAGTGTCAGTGGTGGTGATAACGCGCATTCCGAGAAAAAATCGTCCGGCAATCGCACGCCAGTGAGTCGAAAGTCCGCGTCGCCGAGCGACCACCAAGCGACGGCAACGGCCACCAGCGGCACGCCGTCGGCGGATCGAAAGACCCCGGCGGACCGTGAGAAGACCGACGGCTCACCGCGGAATAGCAGCAGCAATAATAACGGCACGAGTCCGATCATAAGGTCCGGAATGGAGATCCTTTCCGGCGCTCACACAAAGGATAATCTGGCCGCCTACAAGCCGGGTCTTCCCGGATTTTCCGGCAATCCCTTGTGCTGTCCGCCAGGCTTGGCGGAGAATCCAGCCTTCAGGCCGCCATTCGCCGGCGCGTCACCTTTCTCGCATCATCATGCCGCCGCAGCGGCACTCCTGGGCTATCCGTCGGCCAGCCCGACCGGAGGCAACCCGTATCTGAGTTACGCTCGCGTCAAAACCCCGGCGGGCGGTGAAGCTTTAGTGCCGGTCTGCAAAGACCCCTACTGTACTGGCTGCCAATACAGCATGCACAGCGCTCAGATTATGATGGGCGCGGGTAGCTGTCCGAGCGGCTGCACCCAATGCGATCATCAGAAGTACGGACTGGCCATGGCGTTGTCGTCTTTGGGCCCGATGCCGCCGCCGTCACTCTCCTATCCGTCCACGTTAGCCGGCGGTCGGCCTTACGTTTGCAACTGGATCGCTGGCGACTCGTATTGCGGCAAACGGTTCGCCACGTCGGAGGAGCTCCTCCAGCATCTCCGCAGTCACACCAGCCTGACCGGCAACGATCACACGGCGGCCCTCCTCGGCAATCCTCATCCGCATCCGCTGCTGTCGCCGTCGACGGCGCTTCACCGAGCGAGCGGCGGCTCTTACCCGGCGCCGTCGCTGAGCCCTCTCAGCGCCAGATATCATCCTTACGGGAAGCCGCCGACGGGTCCGCTTCCGGCTTCGCTGGCCGCGTCGCCGTACAGCGCTTTCAACGCCTTGGGACCGTATTATTCACCGTATGCGATTTACGGACAGCGAATCGGCGCCGCTGTACATCCTTAAGATGGATATACACGATGGATATACACGGCGGTACGACCTTTTTTTTTCCTTCTCTGTTTCTTTCTCGGTGTACAGTTGGAGAATGTGCAAAGATACGGATTTGCCGTCTAAGAGACTGTTGTGTAAATAGCCAATGTGTACAATACAAATTTATTTAAAAGAATTCTATATATATATATATATATATATATACATAAATATATATATATGTATATACATATATAAATATATATAAATATATATATATATATATATGTGTGTACATTGAAAATTATAATTAAAGTTTATGAAACAATTTGACAGTGTAACGTTGTATCGCGAGACCATTCTCTTGCGGAACTTGTACGATACAAGTCTCTAATACGCGTCTCTCTATTGAGATCCGGTTACCATGTAGAGAAGAACTGCATGCCAGATGTAAGTTTAACATCGTGACGCGACTGCTGGACGGATCAACCCTGTTCTCACGCAAGATACGATGATACAGTACGCGTGCTATTTCAGTTCTGTTTTTCAGCGCTTGACAACCGGAATTGTCGCCTCCTTATATCATCCTCGCGTTACAAGAGACATTAATTGGTTATTCGTCGATGTATGGACGTATGTCCATGTGAAGATTGTAAAGTGCGTATTACAATTATAAACTGTATGTTTTCTCTCGACGCTTTGCAAACGCAAACCTCTCATGGTGGTGCGTTCGATATAACGCGGCGCCGTATGGACGCGGTCGCGCGTATTCTATGTCCATGATATAACTGTGATATTACGCTACTTTTTTGAGGAAAACGAGATTGAAAAAGGAACCTTATTAACGGAAATATCTAAGATATCTGATGCAAAATATAATGTTGTAATTTATTGTCATCACTTATGTAAGATAGAGATACGGATGTCGTTTCAACGAACAGAAATAAAATCGATCAAGAGTCTGTTTCATCTTTTTTTTTTCAAAATTCGATGATTGTAAATGGGATCTTCGACTAGTTCCGACTAGTTTTGTCTTGAGGGCGTATCGTTTATCACATTGTCGAATAGGATATTCTGATAGAAGAAGCACATGATGTACGATACGCACATTATCTATATTGTAAATATCTCTTGTAAATATCGTTGAGTTTCCATACCGCTTTAATAAAAATGTTTGTAGAATCACTAATATTTTGTGTGTTTTACCATTTCGCCACTCACTTAATTTTTGTCTGATTCCTGTTAATTCTCTCTCCCTGTTCGGTGTTTTATGTTGTTTTGTACTTAAAACACGCGCAAAACTTTTAGAGTCGACGTTTTTCGTACTTAAAATATACGACTTCTAATGTATTCCAATTCTAACTTTCCTATTTGCATATCAAACCAGTACGTTAGCAATAATATCAATTATTTCGAAATTTAACTTTGTTGTTTACGTCCCTTTTTTTGCCGTATGAGGTATAAAAAAAAACCAGCCGTCTGATCTCATTGACCTGTTATTATTTCTGACTGTCAATCACTCTTGACGGCTAATCAAATGCACTTCACAGTCTGCCATCCACTGGTAACCATGAGACGTACTTTTTACATCTCTAAAGCTCTTATCTATCTGTACTATAATCAGCAATCATTTTTCTTCTTCAATTCGTACTACACAAACGCGCGTGCGTGTCTGTGTATGTTTACACATTTTTTTCATTTTTCTTATAATTCTTATATTTTGTTACGAACAAGTAAAGCAAAGTAAATTAAAAATTAAATGTAAGCTGAACAGTATCAAATGTAGCAACAAAGTCTTTGCATTGACAATTCTTCTTCCGCTCATCGTTTAAAAATCGTCTCCTCTTAACATCGTCGAAATGCGGCGCGCCACATTCGTGTGCGCACACGAACGACGAATCTCAATCCCCGGGGCATCCCCAGAAGAGTAAATTTATTTCTTTCATTACGGACGGAACGGGTCGTGAGCTCTCGGATATCAGCGCTGCAAGGCGGGGCGCATAAATCTGTAGCCTAGTGTAGGAAAGAGAGAGACAGTGCGAGAGGAATGTGGCGAGCCATAGGTTTCTAGAGCCGGTGCTCGTAGGGGTGGGAGCGAGAAGATCTGCTTCATCCCTCCGTCGTTTCCATCGTCGGGGTGACGCGACAGGCGGTGGCAGGCTCAGCTGGCTCAGCAAAGTGAAATATTCGGCGATTTTAACCGTCAGGATGAACGGTCCCACCCGTATTTCGCCTTTCATGACGCCTTCCACCGATTGGAATTCGTGTTACTTCGAGGCGATTATGCGTGTTCGCGGAATATCAATTAGAAAGACTTCTCATATAGCCAGAACTTTTACGTGCGTATATGTACGCGTGGAAATTAATGAATTAATGCATTTTTTTAAATTTCTTTCTATGCCACACAGTCTTGCTTGTTTTTTTCTATGCATAAGCTGCCGCTTCGTGAGCATTGATCGTCAAGAATAAATGTAGTTGAATGTAAAGCCACTTGTACGTTTCAAAGAATACCTCGCTTTTTATAAGCAAGCGTTCGAATTAATTGAGTAAATATATTTATAGATTTTTTTTTTCAAATATACATTATCTACTGCGTGTTCGCGTCACTGTTCAAGTCCAACGTGTTACTTCGTCAGCTAGAAATGTTTTACCGTTGTGATAGTTAAAATAACAAGTGTGAATAAAGACAGTAAATGACCTATCGCTTGCAATTAGTAGAGCTTCAATGTTCACGTCGTGTCTTATAATTTATTACGTCTATGAGAGAGATAGCTGTGTATATCGATTTTGAAGTTTCTGTCAAAATGCGATTAAAGAAAATTACACATGTCATACAATCCGCCTTTCGGACAAAACTCACCGTCGTTTATATTATTTTAATTTTAATACAAGTTCACACCGCATTTGTTTCTTTATGATTACAATCACCAGGTTCCTTAACATTGTTTCATCATTCGCAATTAAAAAAGATTATTATCTCATTATTGATAATGTTATCGCAAGACGTGAAAATGCAAATGTAAAAAAGAGAACAAGAGAACTTTATTTTATGTTTGGAATATAACTGAGCGGGTCGCGTTTCGCCCCATATTAATTAAAACCTTCAAAGCCAAGCGCGGCGCGTCGACGTTAACGTGATTTAACGCGAACCCGCGAGATTACATTACGAATAAACATGTCAATCAACCGTTTAGACATTTTGTGGAAAATCAACGGTTGGCGCGTTTGGCAGCGTGCTCGGCGCGTCTTTTCTGCGACGGACATGTGTCACGATCAGAACATCGGAGTTACGTCTCCGCATGACGTGTCTTAGCTGTCTCCTTAGAAGAGCCCTATCGAATCAAGGAAGTAAATTAGGACGTTCAAGCGACAACGTACACACACACACACACACACACATATTAGTTAATATTAATAAAATTCGGATTTCCGGCTTGTTTACAGTGTTTGTGTGTGTGTGTGTGTGTTGATTGTGAAAAGACTATCAATATTATGAATTTGTTTCGCTAAATATGATATTATCCGCGTCATTGTTCTTCGATAACGTCTCTTACGCTATCTAATCTTTTGTTCATATAAAAAGATCGAGTTATCAATAACAGTCGCGAATGTAAACGATAGATGATCCAATCGTGCTATTTTCGGAATTCCTCATTTGATTTTTTTTGGTTAATAGCCACTCGAATTGCCGCGTTGCGATTTACTGCTTTGATTAAGGCGAAATATCGGTTGTTATTAAAATTTATTTTTTTACATCCGACATACTGAAGTTGTTGCATAATGTATCTCATACCTTTTCGTACTGCAAATTTAAGCAGTTTGTCACAAAGTGTAAACGTGATGCCGCAGGATGTACATATAATTAGAAATCTTGATGTACTTACTGTGTGATGTGATCACTGAATGAAACTAATATAAGACGCACGTAAATTAATCTCCGATGCGCTGACATTTTGCAACGTTTGTTTAACAGGTTTTTGGATTAGTCAGAAATGTCAGGCTTACCGGCGATATTCTATATCGAAGTGTTTCTTCGGCATGCATAATATTGCGCAGCAATGGCAAATGTCAGATTGTCGATAGCAATCCGTAAATAAAAGTAGCAGACGACTTAGTGCGAATTATTTATGATTTCCGTCCAATTCTCTTTAGTTACCTTTTTTCTTCATTGTTGGATCGTCGGAATTTCCAATTAAGTCATCTCTTGTTTTCAATGAAATGTTGATGTCTGTGAAGCATAGGCAACCCAGCGTTTTTCTTTATCATCGCAATCCGATAACATAGCTGCAGTAATTCGCGTTCGAACGAGCGCTGACGTTGTTCAGCGAAAAAACAATATTTGATTCGGAAAATATCTCGTGTATATATTCCTTATTTTTCCATATTTTCTCTGATTGTATTTCGGATCCTAAGTAAAGTTTACCACGTAATAGGATATTTGGAACCTCTCGCCGTCAGTCCCAGCCATTTTGGCAAACGATGTGTTGGACCCGTCGGTGTTACCTGCGAGATTTCTTTGTCAGGGAGAAAAGCCGGCTAGCGCGATTAGTGCGTCCCTGGGCGACGTCTATCAGGCGTGTTCTGACCAGTCTTACGAGTCAGCGCGGACAATTTAGCACATCAATAACAGGCCACAGATAAAAGCAGCCCATACATCGTGGTTGACGTATCGTTTGTAATAAAACACAAAGGGGGTCTAGTCGCCAGCGGCATCTGTGTACCGCGCTGCGCAGTCGTTCGTTCATTCTTGCTGTTATTAACAGGCCGTACATCGTGGATGTTTTCTACCTACCGTCTCCCGCCGAGTCATACATCACCGTTGAATGCACGATAGCAAAGAGCAACTATAATTCATCTATAAGCTACAGCCGATCCCTCCCGGTAGAAATATGGCGGAAGACGAAATCGATAGGTCAAACGTTGCTGACGGCGTCTACGGTCTACGCGTAAAATTCCGTTTCTGCTAATTTTATTTCGTCTACATTACAACGTTAGTTGCGTGATATATATATAGGGAGATCGATAGAATTTGAATTTCATCAGTGCAAGGCTGTTCCAATGATAATTAGAACTTACATTTTGATATTTCGAAGAGACACGCTTCACAATTAGATAAAAAGGACTAATTATCCTCAGGAAATGGTCTGAATCGCAACTGTTGCGATACAAACGGATTTCCCTTCTTTTTGCTCTATAACGGCTACCACTAGTGACTCGTTTACCCAGCCACCATCCTCGAAAGAAACTTTAGACGTCTACAGCATTATTTCCATCGATCAAGCGGTGTCAAGGCGACAACGTTGTCGCCGGCGGCCTCTCGGACACCTCCTCAAGGTGGCTGATAGAGAGTCTCTCTTCTCTCGCCGCGACTGTCACGGGGCAAACAGTCGCGGTGGCCTATGCTTGAAACGTGGAAAGTAATCGGAAAAGCTAGCGCGGGTCTGTGTGGATGGAGAGAACGAGGTAGGAGATCGCGGAAAGAATTCACGGGAGCAAGAGAGAGAGACACAGTGAGAGCCAAGCGCGGCGGACCGGATGATGAATTAGCCGAGATGACCTCTCGCGCGAAATCTCTCCGCTAGCTCTCGCGGTAGGCAGCTCCCGTGATGTCGGCCCCGAGATGATGGATCGCTTCGCGTCACGGAGCCATTCATCACCTCCATCTATCAGCCACCCCTTCACCTTGCTTTAGAAAGCGAGCATTCGACGGCTATCTACTCGCTTCGGATAGTGATTAATGTTGATCGGAGCGCACCCTGTTATTCGACCTCACCTCTCTGTCTCTCTCTTTCTCCCTCCCCGCCCTCTCTCTCTCTCTCTCTTCTTCTCCGGTCGTTGATCTTCCTGTCTCGCTCTTCCCGCGAGCGACGTGCGTCCACGCGTTCCTGGACGTTGACTTCGTATCAGCTACGTACGTCCATCTTTCGAAATGTCAGTCGGCCTGACGAAAATAGTCGAAGGGATCGATCGCGTGTGTGTTTACGGCGCGGAGTACGTTTCTTCGTATCGAATTATACGATTCGATGCGATATTACTTCCTTTGATGTAACATAGCGCATTGTGTATATATTCAGTATACCTCGTCATGTATTATATATAATCCAGCGACAATTACACGCGCGTATTTCTTTATTAGTTCGGTGAATTTTAATTGAGCTACATATCGCGTTGCAAATAGAAAGATGGTAATT